CCGGAATCTCGCCGGTCGCCTCGGTTTTACATGGATCCTATCCCCGAGTACAAAATCAACAAGTGTCCCGATCCGTGTCCCACTTATCCGCGCGCTAACTACTTCGCGCCTCCCTTACAGAGATTGGTATCAAATGAGGATAATGGCCCTCGGAACTCCAGTGAGGAAAAAGCCCTGCTCGCTTCTTCGCTCGCTCTCTTATACTATCGCTCGCCCCCACTCTCGCGCTTGCGCCTGCGCGTTATCGCCTGGCGCTGTACGCGCTCGCATCGTCGCGTTCGCTTTGCGCGCTGTGAGCACTCACGCTGCTTATTCATGTTACATACTTATGTTGCTGCATTTTACAATTTTAACATTTTCTATTCTAATGGTTTTCTTTTCTTTTCAGGTACTAATCGACTCTGACGGATGCTGCTTCTGGAGGTCTCCCGCTACAGTCATCGGTAAGTATATCATTTAAAATTTATTTACAGGTTCGCGGAATTCCCCCGCTTCACCCCTCTTTCTGTATACATTATCTACATTAGTGATAATCAGGGACTGGTCCCATGAACTTTCGAAACGTGCGGACGCGGAAAGTGCGGATTGAAAACCCCAAAAAAGAACTAGAGTCCTCATGTTTCCGTCCGTATATTCCGCAGAAGTGTAATGCCTTATGTCCCATGGTACTAATAATGCGGGCGCAGATATAATGTAGTCCAATCGCAAATAGTATTCCGCTGAAGCAATTGAAACATTCTTCTAAAGCAGCGCTGTGATTGGTGGGCGTATGATATTTTTCCGTATATTTCGAGCTATGGGACATAAGGAAATATAAAGTTGCGGAACATGCGTAGAACTGATGTCTGGAAAATTGAAAGGTTATTTGAGGTTATCTCGCTGCCCAACGGATATCACGTAATTCGGTAAATGTACGCCGAAAAATTGTTTATTATAATCACCGTGTTAATGAAAAGGCTGAAAAATCGCAGCAATGATCCAAGGCGACAAAATTTATTAAAAAGAAAAATTTCCAAATTGTACAGCCTGTATTTAATTGCAAAAAAAAGGAGGAAAGCAATTTCGTAAGTATTGGGTAAGACCAATATTTACCGAAAGCAGAAGACTACAACAAGGAGCAAGTGATAATTTAATTGAAGAGATGGAAAGTGATGACGTTGAAAAATATCACGAATACTTCAGGATGTCGCCAGAATTATTTTACAAATTATTGGAATTGGTGAGGCCAGACATTGAGAAGCAGTGTGTAGTGCGAGCTCCAATTTCAGCTAAAATCAGACTCCAAATTACACTCCGATACTTATCATCTGGAGATAGCATGAAGTCCTTGTCTTATGCCTTTCGTGTTGGACATAATACAATATCCAAATGCATACATTCCACATGTGAAGCTATATGGAACCATCTTAAGGACTCTGTTTTCATTAAGGATAACGAAGAGAGTTGGAAGGATATCGCAAAAGACTATGAAGACTTGTGGGACTTCCCAAACTGTATAGGGGCAATAGATGGGAAGCATGTAATGATTCAGGTAAAAATACAATACATGATTACGATTCGCAACATTAATTTAAATACAAACCGTATAAATATGATTTCGAGTATCGGTTATATGTATACTTTATTTCTGTACATCTTTGTTAGGCTCCACCAAATAGCGGATCTTCTTTTTACAACTACAAGGGCCATCATAGCATTAATTTGCTTGCAGTTTGTGATGCAAGATACTGCTTCACTATGGTTGACATAGGTGCTAAAGGTAGGGAAAGCGATGGGGGAGTTTTTGCTCATAGCGAAATTGGAAAAAGATTTGAGAATGGCTCGTTCAATCTTCCTCCATCACAGAAAGTAGGAAGTAGTGGACCAGTTGCACCTTTCGTTCTAGTGGCAGATGAAGCCTTTCCCCTAACTACATATATGATGAGGCCATTTCCACGGAGTGGGAACTTGAATATCGAGAAAAAAATATTTAATTACAGGCTCAGTCGAGCAAGAAGAATAATAGAAAGTGCGTTTGGAATACTTGTTGCTCGCTGGAGAATATATAGCAAATCAATTTTTGCAAGTGTAAGAAGTGTACGAAAAATTGTGCAAGCGACTGTAGTATTACACAATTTTATTATTCAAAATGAAAAGGTTCCGATTCCATCAAATAGTACAATTCGAGAGAACGTACGAACAAACTCTTCTGGACTATGGGATATAAATCCTCATACTGGTAGAAATAAACGTGAGGCTATCACAGTTAGAAATGCTTTCACCGAATATTTTAATGGACTTGGAGCAGTAGAGTTTCAGTGGCAAAAAGCATTGAGCAATGATTTCTAATTGACAATTTTGTACTATTTATGCTAATAATAAACATTTAAAACAACATATTTCGATTTATAATTTACCTAATAATTTATTTTTATTATTGCATGTACATAAAAGAAGTATATTTCATCGGTCACTGGAACTGATTAGTTTCTTCTTCGAGTAGTTCTGTCTCATCGGCAAGCATAGTTAAAAATTTTATTTGGAGTCTGGCTCGCCTCGAATATGGCAGTTTCCTCAGTCCTTCGCCAAGTAACGTGGTAAACCCGTCGACACCGTCGTTTTGTTTAACAGGTTCTGTAGGTTCACGTAAGGCAGCCAAAACACTTTCGTGAAATTCAGTTTCCACCGAAGATGACAGTCTTTCTGAAACAAATATATTACCATGTAGTGTATGTTTCGTTATTTGTCAAAGTGTGCAAAAAGAAATAAGATCTAATTTAAAGAAGAACAATATTTCAGTATGGTACGAATGTCTGTTTCTGCACTTTAGCTTGAAAATACACTAAAAAGTTTATATACTTGTAATGAACAAGTGCAAAGTACGATCATAAAGATATGATTAAATACGATTATAGACATTTGGCCGACTTCTGGCAACTATTCTTGTGTTTATTATTATATTATATTATATTATGATCTATTTTTTTATTATATTACGTACATACGCTCATTCATTTATTATATAGGTTGAAATTAATAAACAGACTTTAACCTAACCTATAAAACCTATGCCAAATTATCAACATCGTTTTCAGATCCGATCGAGTTGTTTATGGCGATTCTGCAGTCAGATATGTCCTGTTAAGAAGTGACTTCCATTACTTTTCAGCGCCAAGGATAACAAAAATTCAAAAGTCAGGATATTACTTTTACAACTATTTCAGGGCTCGCTTTTAATTTTAATACGATGTTTCAATTCGATAACTGTGAGAGTGAAATTGAGCAAACAAATTACTGCGGTTAACGGAAGTTGAGATTTCACTTCTGTGACCAATATAGGTTTCGCTTTCAATGTTATTTTCATTACAAGTCTCAATACGATAGCTATGAGTGTGAAACTGAACACTCACCACTGCGGTTAATAGAAATGAAGATAATACTTCTGTGACGAAATTAGATTTCGCTTTCAATGTTAATACCATGAGAAGTACTGTTCGTGTTTGCTGAATTTCACTCTCATAACTATCGTATCGAGACTTGCAACGAAAATAACATTGAAAGCGAAACCTACATTGATCACAGAAGTATAATCTCAACTTTCATTAATCGCAGTAGTTTTTTTGATCAATTTCACTCTCATAGTTATCAAATAGAAACTTCGTATTACATTAAAATTAAAAGCGAGCCCTGAAATAGTTGTAAAAGTAATATCCTGACTTTTGAATTGTTGTTATCCTTGGCGCTGAAAAGTAATGGAAATTAATTAAATTAATGTTGTTTACATTATTTATGATCTAAACATACTTTTCTTTGAGGTATTTCTTCTGCAGCAATTTGACATTTGCGCCGAACTTGATGCAGAGCTGCTTAAGTCTGATCTAATTGGTGGGGAAGTCAGAGATTCCATTGCATCAACTGTATCTACGTTTAATGCGATGTCACATTCGCCCTCTTTCTCGTTTCTTGCAGTTTCTGTGGTTAGTAAACTGGTACAAGTTCTAAGTGGAAAATAAAACATATTATTGTAGATATTTGTTTTCATAGTGATATCCACACTGCAAAAAATATTTCTTGAAATTTAAGAAAAATG